CTCAAGATATGATACTCTCCAAAACAACTTTAAGTCGAAACCCCTTGTTAGGAAGTTGGTAATCATTTGAAATATCGAATTCTGGAGTAGCTGTCTTCAAGGAAAGATATTAGACGGTGCAATTCAAAAAGCATTAGCTAAAAATATGTGTGATGCATTTGGGTCGACTTTTTGTTGAGTTTGAATTTCTATATCTCAATGTATAGGAATGTTCTTAACACATCAGGTAGATTTTTGCTCACTAACTTACCAGGAAACAACACGATCTTCAAATGTACCTGTGATTTTTTCAAGAGACACTCGAAAATGAATAAAGAAAAATTTAATAAAAGTGTAAAAGGGTGAAAAATTATAAAAGTTCACAAAACATTAATCTAGCCTAAAAATATGTTCTATGCCAAACCCGAACTGTGAATTATTTAATACGGAACGCACTTTATTTTATGTAAACGTCAATTATTAGTTCAAACACAAATCGCTTTGTTGTTGTTTGGAAATGTGGAAATGCAAGAAATATTCATGAATATAATTTAAAATTTATTGTCCTTATCGTCTATTTGAACAAAGCTATTATATGCATATTTATATTTTATTTGGTGACAAGTTCCAGCTTTGGATATTAATGTATCAATACCTGGTTTCTCTCCTTTTTTGTGAAGTGATGTACTGATTTGACGACAATCAAGCATCATTCAACGTTCGTAACTAAGGAAGCTATTTACAACTATTTTTTTCAAACATTTCATCATTTATAATTAATTATAACAATTTTATTATGTTTCTTCCAATTTTCTGCAACAGACAGGATATTATTTCTGATTGATAATGTTGTGCAGATTCTGTCAGTGGTATTTATTCTGAAATAATTAATTTTTTACCCAATTTTTGAATTTCTGACATTTCCCTCGTTTTGTGACGTGTTTTCGCTTAGAGAACTGCACTTCTGTATAGGGTGATCAAACTCTGTTCCTTCTAAGAATTTTCCTGAGATGTTGACAATATTTCCATATACATTTCACGGTGTTTGTAGTCGCACTCCTCCAAAACGTCTTGGCCGATTTTTATGAATTTTGTGTGTATATTTGGTGGGTATGAGAATTGATCATAAAGTATATTTCATACCGCTAGATTCTTATAGTTTTTCTTTTCGAATAATTGAGTGATCAACAAAATATTCTACCACACCCAGTTCATTATAATAATTATAAAACACTAAATACAGTTGCACCTTCCGATGAAAGCAATGTCTCGAAGGAAGTTCATAAAATATAATTTCCTACGATAACGCCGATTGAAGATACATCATAAATCATTCATTATTTTTAGCAGAACAATATTTATAACTGTTCGCGATAATATTTCTATACAAGTACTTTTATTGTGATATTATCTCAAAAGTGTGTGCGTAGTTTTAGCGACAAAGGCATTATGTCAGGTGATAATACAAAGAGTGGGGGTTCTATCTCTCTCTGTCTCTTTTATGGAGATGCAGACTGCAAGAGAATCCTTGAATTGATCTGAGAGCGTTGCCACTATAATTGATTTATGTTGGCCTCTATTCGATGTAGATAATATAGACAGTATTTAGACTAGAGAAAAATGGTATCAATTTATGTTATTTATGGTATCTATACATATTTGCACATTCATCTCATAAGAATATATATAATGCTTCTAAAAACGTTTTTGGCTTTCTACTTCTATCTTTATAAAAAAGTAGTTTCAGTAACTGAAAGTACCTTCTACCTACGTCTTTCCCCAAAAATAGTGGGAAGGTTAAATAATCCCGGATGCAATATACATACAGTTTGTCAAATGTAGGAAAAGCTTTTTAAATTTCGTTATAGTCCCGCCCGCTAGAGGAGGGAAAAGAGAGAGAGAGAGAGAGAAAGGAAATTCTCAAGTCTCTTTCTAGATTTGACAAGCTGTATGATTTGTGAACGGTACATGGAGAAACTTTTTGTATGCCCTCACATATCTATGTTTTCTCTGACCTCAGGATCCACTGGCATGAAGATTGTCCCACCAATTTGAAAATATTCAATACGTCCTTTAACGTTATCTGCGAAATGTTGTGATTGAGTGGGAACTTCAGTTCTCGACTTCTATATTGGGAACACCGACATTAAAATGGAAAAGTTAGAAGATCTTCCTTCTCAAGTTCTATAGGAATCTACAGAAATGTTAATTGATGCTGTGCAGCAGTGATTGATATTTAACCTTCCCTGACCCAAGGAACATTGGCAAATGATCTAATCCTTTCCAAGACTGACAGACAATCCATTAAAAATCTGATTATCAAAAATCCACATGTATATGTGGCTCGAAAAGTAGGTCTCCTATGACACATGTCGGGGAGACAACTTCCCATGACTGCACCCACCAGCTACGAGACGCTCAAACAATCTGTAGCCATCCTGGCCGAAATGTGCAGCTCTGGGATAATTTATGTGAACCGTCTTTTGGAAAACCCTCTACGGCAGTTTATAATGGTATACTGAAGTTGAAGTTCTAGTTGATTGGTCGATACTGTTGATGTCTGATGTTCAGGGTGCAAGATTTCCATTCCCATGAGGCCTCTGGTACAGGTGAATCATCGTTTGACCATAAACGTTCGCGGGGGAGTTTCCATCCCCGATGTATATCCTCCTCATGTTGCTGAAAAATTTGGAGAGTTGGGAAACTGGGAAGCCCTTGCTTCTAATGTTACAAAGAGATAAGTCGACGTCCATTTTTGTAGACTCAGGCCGTGCTCTACAGCGAGTAGAATTGTGTGCCGTCATATTATGATGTCAGGGATCACCACATTCACATTCTCAGACAGACTGATGCCTCGGTTTTCAACTGAAAGGAAAGAAAAAACTAGTATTTTCTTATATATTGTTGCTATATAATAGAAATAGTTTGGAGACAATATGGTTTCCCGAGGAACACCAGATTAGAAATCGGCGAGAGGACCATTAATGCCAACTTGTGAGGAACATTCTTTGAGAAATCTGGAGAGTCGTAATATCTAATTTCATTTAGTGAACTCTCACGCTAAACACAGTCAAAAGTCTTCGAAACATCGAGACTGCGTTATTTCTCGATTGCATTAACCCAAAGGAGGGTTACATATGTAAGGTCGCCTATTGATTTCTGATTCCGGAAACCATATTGATGATCGCTTTCTATGTTGAAGTATTCCAAATATTGATGTACTCAGAAACAGATGTCTCCATGGATTTTGAAAAACTCCGGAATGTACCTTGACAAGTATTTCCTCAATCCGTCCCGAAGAACCAATTTCCCAAATATTTCAGAAATCGCCATTACACAGCTTGTACCTTCTTTAATGAGGACAAGGCGTCACGTCGTATCCCAGCTCCTCGGCGATAACATCTCTAAGCCGTAAATTAAACGAAGTACACAAAGTTTTTCCATTGCCGCGAGATCCGCATTGTATCCGCTAGATATTCTCGGTTAGACAATGAGATCAATTGCAAGGATTGATGTATGGAAGGTTCCCCATCGCAGCTTATTACGAAGCAGCTGTTCAAGTGATTTCGCCTCGATTTATGTGCCCAGATCGAGATTGTGCGGTTAGGAGGAGACGTGGATCGCATTGTGTAGTGCGAAGTGTTGTTCCTTTTCTCGTTTTGTATCGGAGAAGAATTCCTTATGGGAAGACGACATCACGAGTGTGCCGCCTCGATAGCGATTGATTAATTAACGACGAAGTGAATTATCGGTGCATAGAATTTGTTGGTGACAAATGTGGCCTATCCCTTTATCAACAGCTTTGATACAGCCTCACAAACTGGAGCCGAGATTGTCGCATACTGACGTACTAGTTTAAATACTCGCATACTAGATTACCGCTTGTTCGCAGTTTTAGTTTAGTCTCTTCAAATTCTACATTGTTATGATCGCCTTGACAAAAAAATAAATGCCACCGGAAAAACACAAACAAACAAACAGTGTATTGATGGCAGATACTGACAGATATAGTAGTGAGTGTCAACTTCTCAAGCACTAGGCATTCTACCTAGCTGAGAACATTGATTTTACATACAGATAAATTGAATATGTTTTGCACTTATACCATCTATCTCGCTTATAGTGTCACATTAGACAATATCCCTTGAATGATGATATCATTTGATCATCATGAGTATCAAATCGCCAATTGAAGTTCGGACAGAAATTTTATTTAGATAAATAACTACTAAAAGTGATTTTAAAAATGTATAGAACTTTTTAGAGTTCAATTGTAATGATAAACATTAACAATACAAAAAATGGCTTGTAGAGTGAGTACAAAGAAAATAAATGTGATTGATACTCGTCCAATACCTAACAGACAGATAAACTCCCTTTGAAGCAAAAAATGGTATCTTCACTTGACCAGACCATCTCACCCACCCAACTGTATACAAAAAGGGTTATGAACTAGCCATCATCACCTTACTCCACGAGAGCTTACAAGTTCCACTCAAAGAACTTTTCAACACAATTGTTTCTATTGCTCAAGATATGATACTCTCCAAAACAACTTTAAGTCGAAACCCCTTGTTAGGAAGTTGGTAATCATTTGAAATATCGAACTCTNTTGAAGTATTCCAAATATTGATGTACTCAGAAACAGATGTCTCCATGGATTTTGAAAAACTCCGGAATGTACCTTGACAAGTATTTCCTCAATCCGTCCCGAAGAACCAATTTCCCAAATATTTCAGAAATCGCCATTACACAGCTTGTACCTTCTTTAATGATGACAGGGCGTCACGTCGTATCCCAGCTCCTCGGCGATAACGTCTCTTAGCCGTAAATTAAACGAAGTACACAAAGTTTTTCCATTGTCGCGAGATCCGCATTGTATCCGCTAGATATTCTCGGTTAGACAATGAGATCAATTGCGAGGATTGATGTATGGAAGGTTCCCCATCGCAGCTTATTACGAAGCAGCTGTTCAAGTGATTTCGCCTCGATTTATGTGCCCAGATCGAGATTGTGCGGTTAGGAGGAGACGTGGATCGCATTGTGTAGTGCGAAGTGTTGTTCCTTTTCTCGTTTTGTATCGGAGAAGAATTCCTTATGGGAAGACGACATCACGAGTGTGCCGCCTCGATAGCGATTGATTAATTAACGACGAAGTGAATTATCGGTGCATAGAATTTGTTGGTGACAAATGTGGCCTATCCCTTTATCAACAGCTTTGATACAGCCCCACAAACTGGAGCCGAGATTGTCGCATACTGACGTACTAGTTTAAATATTCGCATACTAGATTACCGCTTGGTCGCAGTTTTAGTTTAGTCTCTTCAAATTCTACATTGTTATGATCGCCTTGACAAAAAAATAAATGCCACCGGAAAAACACAAACAAACAAACAGTGTATTGATGGCAGATACTGACAGATATAGTAGTGAGTGTCAACTTCTCAAGCACTAGGCATTCTACCTAGCTGAGAACATTGATATTGTCTCTACAAACGAAGAACACAAAGTATTATTACTGCATACAAAGCTTGCTTCGACAGTAGTGTTACCAATCAAATAGACACACATTGTGCTTACTCCAATTAAAAATTATGAGATTTCACAATGAACCATTTCTTGTAGATTTACGAACAATCATGCTACGAAAGGTAATGTTTGGTTGGTCTTTGTTGTCATTTATTTCTGTAGAGGCTGTAAAGGCAATCTGCACATTCATATGTTTGAGAGGAACTCAATTCAAACGAGACATTTCTGGATAGATGGTTTGGAGCCAGCTCTTTTAGACTTTCTCTTTGGGGATATATCAATTCCGTTGTTAATAAAATATGGTAAACTGATATTGTTGAAGTGTTTGTACGTCCATTGTCAAAAAATGATCGAAGATTTGGTTAATATTTTTCACACAATATTTAGGAGCCATCTAATCTTCTTTTTCACTAAACACAATAAAACTATTTTTCAAATGATGGTTTGAAAGTAGTGACAGAGGGACTTTACATTTACATTAGTTACATTATGAAGTGATATATCATTTCCTGCAATAATTACGTATGAAAACTTTTCAAACTGACTCTCCGTATATAACATGTTGCTTCACGCAAAAAATACGTTTCAGTTTTGTTATTTTTTTCCATCCCCTCATCGAAATTGGTTCGAAATTAACTTCTACAACGGCGGGCTCGGGCACAGGATTAAAATATTTTAACGTGTATAATTCGGAAAGGTAGATTCACAAATTGAGTTAAAATTCCCAAGTCGACTCGGAATTGGATCATGTAAATTGTTATTGTGCCAATGTACTTTATTAGCAACTAATTTAAAGTTCGTTTCAACTCGCAATGGCACAAAATGTTATTTCGTGCTTTATTTCCTCTTCTCCGTTCATTTTATTCGGCAGCCCCGAATGGACAACAATATGAGGGAATATTTTACGAAATAACGAATATTTCAATATATGATATCTTCTGTTTATCATTTTTTTGTTTTTTTAATGGACGATAAGTAGCTTTTCTGGATATGAAATGCTAAATGTTTCATACACACCCATTTGAAAGGAAAACACTTTGTGCAGGTATTAAATCTAAAATTTCTATGGAAGCTATTTCTCGTTTTTGTTGATTGTAACTTGCAGGTTGATATGTCGGACGTTTCGCCTACAACTGCGGTATACATTATGAAAAGCGATGAGAACGCGTTGATGAAGTGCTGTAGTTGTCTTCACAACACACATTTCTACTACTACTGATATGCACCAACAAATCGGAAAAATAACTTTAACATAATTATCTCCAACTGTTGGCACTCTTTGCTCAACCTAAATTTATTGTTCTCTTCAGTATCTATTGTCAAAAGCAGAATATGGTTCGATATACCTTTACGCAGTAAAAGCCTACTGAAAATCCATTCAGAAACTGAAAAGAGAGTTTTTCATTAATCTTTAATGTATTCTTGAGAACATAGCAATTTCATTCGAAGTATTTTTCAATATACAGAGACTTTAAGATGTAGACTAGAGATAAATATGACTGTGCGCCTAAAGTGTCACCGGTTATTATGGATCACTTATACGATGCTAGTGGCTAGCATCAGACTCACTCGAACGCCAGCCCTGGCTCCATGTAAACTTGCCAGTAACTGGTTGTAATAGATCAGCTTCTAGTTTTTTTTATCAGTAACCAATCGTCAACGAATTTGGAGACGTATCGCTCATTATGTGCTGCAGTAAACAACTCTTGAGACGTTCATAGCCACAGACAGCTAATGGCATCGTCTGAATAAGATGCTCCAGTACAGTGGAACTGGTGCCAGTTACTGCCAACAGTCACAGAGTACGTCTAATGAATCAGGCGGTCCAGTCCAGTGAAAATGGTACCCATTCCTGCCAACAGTCTCAGGCACCAGCCACTATCATCGTCCTTATGATCCTGAAGGCATATGAAATTGATTCTGAACATTTAGCTTACCAGTCAAAGATGAAACAACTGACCACTACGGAATTTAAAAATTTCTTTTTTGAAAGTAACGGGAATAATGAAATCCACACCAACATCAACATTTTTGTATATGTAGAGGAACCAAACGTGTTGTTCACTGATCACATGATACTAAAGAACACAACGAGATCGTTGGTCAGTGTACTGATGACAGACCATCAACTCCATAATTAGGTTCCCATCCAGGGGTTGGGTAGCACCATCCATGGTGTGAGACCAGACCAGGAAATGGAGGATACATAAAGGGTACTTAGGAAATTATACTTGAAAACACACCGGAAATCCTTTCTAAAGGAACTGTCTGAAAAATCATTTGCTTCAAGAAAAGCAAGAAATGGTTGAAAATACTCACGAGGTTACTTACTGGACATTGTCCATCCAGAGGACACCTGAATAAAATACGGATGTTGAAGGGAGATCTCAGCTGCAGGCAGTGCAAAAAAAAAAACAGAAACAGCTCAACATGTCATGTGAGGCACTGGATCACAGAAGTCGAACAATTTAAAGAACAGAAGAAGCTAGTAGAGGAAACGATGGGTGGAAAGACGCAGTACTACTATGAAGCTGCCGTATTTTTTGAAGATTGAGAATAAATAAATATTTTAGACGGTTCCCAAGTATACACAGCATATAGCGGAAAGAGTCAAACGGTTCTCAAAATAACAGAAAATGTTTTATGAGCAATCTCAATGACAATCTCAATCTCAATATTATTCAATAGGAATTATAATAATTTTTTTTGTTATTACTCCAGACAAAAAGCTCATACCTATTCATATTTAACAAAAACACTAAATGTTAAAAATATAAGCTGCCTTATCAGTTTTTTTCATATTGTTTTTTGTTTCAGCCAACATCCAGAGTACTCAAAACGATATTCTTCTATATATTGGCCTCACGGTGGCTATCTTCTTGGTCTGCTTCCTTTCGTTTTTCGTTATCAAAATCTACCGGAAGAAAGGCCAGCATCAAAGCCTCTACAACATGGCGTCCAATGGTAAGTTATCATAAGCATCAAATAGTTTGTGAATTTTTCATAAATGTTTCATTCAGGTCCTATTTTTTGAAAGTCAACTGTCTTGACGAGCCAATCAATTAGTAGATGAATCACTGACTACGAAAGGCTGGTAAAAAATCAGAAGTAAAAGCGCTTCAGAGAAATGATACATTCATTCAGTCTCCCAAATGTTCAAGCTATTTTCTGAAGTAATACCTCTTGGTTCATAATCACTTGTCCAACTATTCCTGGACTTCTTGGACTAGAACACATCATATATACAGAGCTCATATCAGCAAGTCTCCAAAGCTTTGACGACTTCGTGATTGGTCTTCATTTTATATCTCATCGGCAAAAACTCAGTTTTAGGAACACCTAAAAATCCCTAGTAACCAAATCCGGAGTGTAAGTCGCCGTGAAAAATTTAAAATACTCTACTGTCAACTCAACTGAAATATACATCGAACTATATGGTCGAATGCTTTTTTTTATTCGTAGATTTTGTAATTCTTGGAATCGCTGTTCATATTTGTTTATTTGAATTTTCTGTTGCAACCGGATGTTATACGTTTCAATATTCTATTTCGATACAATTTTTCTGATCCTCTTCGACAGTCTTTTCAGATGTGTTGTTATAGTATGTTGTACAACGTATAGGAAATTTAGATTTCAGATGAACCAATCAACGAGACTGCATAGATAAAAGCTCCCATGTGGTTCTAAAAGGTACTTTATGACCAAAATTTACATGAAACATCTGCCGGGCACAAAATACCTCTATAAATAATCGAGCACCGTGTAAATGATTTAATCACAGAGTTACGTATGTATAACATAAATTGTGACATCCATATGGCTTGTACGAGGGGGGAGAGAAGATTGTTTTATGGGATGAGATATTGCTTGTCGGCTTATTATTTCATTGCCTGAGGATATCGATGTCATATTTATATTGCCTTGATGCAATGACACTTTTATTCCACAAACGCTTCTCAACAGTTTATGAATTTCAATAGGCAGTGTGCTAGTACAGATTTTTCTACGTAAATTTCTATTTTAAAACAAGCACAACGAAATAACATTCATACGCCATCAATCTGATATAAGTTAACTACGTATGGAAACGCTAGATAGAGCTATTGTATAGCGAAACACGTGTTACGATTTTGTAAACTATCTAATGGAAATCTCACAATATAGTGTTACTTGCATTACCAGGAGTTGATTAAGACTCTATGTACCGAGTACATCATCCAAATAAAAGTTCCCTCTGAATATTCGTTTCTCACTTGTGTAAGAAGAAGATGCTTTATGAAAATATTTATTGGTAATGCATTCGCTTTCCCAACTGTAGTAAGAATGTCATAAACTACACGACACTCACGGACATGTTTCGCTTTATCAACAGTGATAGTAAAAACAAATGTGATCATTCTATTCATAAATCATTTGTTGATGTGACTTATTGTTGAAACTAAAAATACATTTTTAAATTTTTGTAAAAAATTGGAAACTCTTGATATGAAAATATTATGGAAAAAAAATGAGATTAAGTTTCTAAGGTATTATGTTGTTTCAAAAGTTTTGTTGGTTTTTATTAATCTACTTCAAACTATAATATCTCAGTGAATACTTATTCAATTCAAGTAGACGAAGGCAGTTTTTGCCTGGTCCTAATTGGCGAAGGTTTTACCGGTGAGAAAGTTATCGAAGTGATGGGGAGTACGTGGGACAGAACTTTGGCACTCAATCCGTTTAATTTTCGGAACATGATTTGTGAAACTTGCGGACAGATGTCGTGGAGAAGGATCAGCTACTTCTGACACAATTTTCGCAACATTTCTTCAATTTCCTCATTGGGTTCCAATCACTGTTCTGAACGTCTCCTGTTGTCGTAGAGGATCCACCTTTCATCACACTAACGGTCCGATTGTCCGATCAAACAAAGGATTGTTTTGTTTGCCCAAAAGCATAGAACAACAAACCTCAAAACGTGACAATTTCTGTCGATCGTTCAAATCGTGGAGCACCAATTTTTCGAGCTTTATGACCTTTCCAATAATCCATGTCAAACCATCGAAAACCGCATGGGATCTGATGCCTAGTTCTTCCACTATCCCACGTACAGTATGTGATGGGTCAGTCTCCACCAGGATGCTCAAATCCTCGTCCTCGATTACTTTAGGTCGGCTACTTTGGGGATCATCTTTGAGACTGAAATCTTCGGAACGAAATTTCGCAAACCAACGTCAAACAGTGGTTTATTTACATCAGCATTGCCTAATGTTTGGGTAATTTTTCGGGCTGTTTCGGTAGCGCTTTGGTTCAACTTGAATTCGTAGAGGAAAACTGGCCGAAAACCGCTTAACAACATTATATAGTAATAAGGTGAAAAGAGGAAAAAAAACTAACATCATCAATGTATAGAGAACAAAATTCTCTATCGACCAGTATACACCACGACACGGTAGAATACATTTTCATTGAGATACGAAGCTACAAAAACACATGACATTGAAAGGGACAAAACTTTCAAAACAACCTTATATAAACCATTGAAAGTTTTCATGCAACGATTTATTACGACTTAATTTCCCACTTTGAACCGACTATGCTCATTTTTTGCGATTCTTGGTACAAGATTAATTCATTCACCCACATGGCGTCGACTCGACTGTGGCTGTAAAGTTTCTCCAAATGAAAATATATGATGGATAAATGGCCGGTCAATTAAAGAAATGCCTAGAATTTTACGTCGTCACTAATGAACTTTCAAAATGAAAAACATGTGTGCGGCAGTTAAAATAAAAAAGTGGAGCGGTAAAAAATATATTTTATTATAATGGGAGGTTTCGGATTATGTACATCAATTACGAGGTTGACTGTTTTTAGTGTGGATGCGGATTTATACGAGAACGGAACTTTTGTCAGGTGTCTTTATGGTGTCACACAAAACTTTATGATATATATTGATTAATGATGATATCAGTATATAAAATATAAAAATATTCCAAGAGATTTTACGACGAAATGTCACTAGGTGGTTAATGGTGGACCATTTATATACGCATACCGTCCAACTGTATAATTACAAAAGTTATTGTTAGATAAATGGATAAATACGACGAAATGTCACTAGGTGGTTAATGGTGGACCATTTATATACGCATACCGTCCAACTGTATAATTACAAAAGTTTTTGTTAGATAAATGGATAAATAGAAAATAAAAAAATATAGCTCAATATAAAAATGCAACTATTGAACAAATAATAATCATTCATTCGTAATAAAAAGAACCCAGGATTATACCCTGTAATATATTCCATTACTGTTCTATGTACTATCGAAATCAACTTTTTTATGTGTTATGTGAGAATTTGAAAATATCTGAAGAAATATTTTGCTCCAAGCCAGAATTCATCAGGTTTGTTGGTGGCTCGGAAGTAAATTTGTCCAGTAGATATGCTATTGAAATTCAGCTGATGACTTTTCTACTAATAGTAATATCTACAGTCAGTACTACTTCTAAGTGACACGAAATGAGAAAAATTATTTATGTATGGTTAATATAAACACCAGTTATAGAAATCTTGAACACTCTTTTAAACTAAATAATGTTTGTAGTGTTTATATATCACGATGACAATACCTTAAAAGTTAGAATTGCAGTTACTAGTATTTGTATTGCTATTGTTACCATTCAATATTTTTCGATAGAAAGTAACTAAATATTATTTTCTTGAGGTTTTCTGAATTTTGATCCATTCACAATCTGCCTAAAATCATAATCAAGTTCAAAATTTACTGCGAAATATAATTGTTTGTAGCCGCTGTGTACGTACGTACGTGTAACTATAGGATTATGACATTTGTTAATTTATTTCACAAACTATCAATACAGTTATTCCAAATGGAAAAATTTTTGTGGATAATTTTGAGTATACATTTTCCGATGTGTAGGATTCGAACTATGTAAAAAAAAATTAAAATATTTATGCATTTAACAAACGTTTTAATTAATCTATGTGATTTATTTTTTATCAATTGGTAATGAAGACATTCATTATTATTATTTTGAAGGTAGTATATGCGATGGTCGGGCTTCTTTCCCCCAAAGCCCCGATACATTCGGGAGGGCATGCCGGCATTATCAACCAACGAACACTCCCCACACCGTAGGGTAAGTGATCATTGAGTCTGAGAATCATGAGCAAGCGCAGTAAGCTAAGAGTGACAGCCTTCTGCATCTGTCCGGTTAAGATTTCTGCCTTAATGCGGCAAGCCGGTATAATTTTAGGATTCGAGAATAGAGAGGACATCATTCCATCATTATTATTATTATTTTAACTGTAGTTTGCGCTGGTCAGACCCTATCCTCCGAAACCCCGTTACATTCGGGAGGGCACGCCAGCATTATCAACCAACGATCACTCCCCACACCGTGGTGTAAGTGATCGTTGGGTCCGAGAATCATGTGCCCTGGGCAAGCGCAGTGAGCCAAGAATTACAGCCTTCTGCATCTGTCCGGCTAAGATTTCTGTCTTAGTGCGGCAAGCCGGTTTGATTTTAGGATTCGAGAGTAGAGAGAGTATAATTCCACCAAGGACTCTAATAATCAGAACAACCATCTTGACAGAGTGATCTGGATAGGGTATGCGGAGTTCGAAGAGAAAATCTTGATGCAAGTATTTTTTGAATATATCAGCAAAGTTGCGTAATACCGAAATTTATAGGTTTATACATTTTTATCATAAAAACTGAGGATAAAGTCAAAATTTTTGGCTGGATGATGAATTTCAAAGTTATCAAGTAGAAAAGTTTCGAAATTGTCTCAAAATAAATTCAAATTACCATATTCGTTATTATTAAACACGAAAGATGATCTCTCTCCTCATTTATTAAACAGATCAGATGTTGTCTACTATTCATTTTCTTAATAGCGTCATCAATTCTTGTAGAAGTCGTTCATTTTCCTCAGACAGTCAACCGGTAACGCGG